GCAGGGAAAACCTCGGGTTTGGGTTTGGATTTGGGTTTTCCTGCGACCCCACAACCAAGCGGTGCCGTTCCCGTGCCGCTGGCCTGAGGCGCGGGCTGGGAGAGGTGTGGCCCCCCCCAGGAGAGCAGCGGAGGGGGCAGCGGGGTTCCCCCGCCGGGAGCCACCGCTCCATCCCGTCGGATGTCCCGAGCAGAGCCTCCTCCCTTCCCGGCGCGGCTCCGAGGAAGGCTTGGGAAAAGGCCCGGGCGGGCGCCGAGGGGCGATGGACCTGGCTGTCCCTCGGCATCGCCCGCCGCTGTAAACAACCGGAATAAACCGAGAGCCTCCCCTTTCCCCTTTCCCACCCTGCCAGAAGAGCAAGGACGGAGCAAACGGTGCCTGCGGCTAAGAAGCGGCTCCGTATAAAAATAAACAGCTGCTTTTTCACTGATAAAGTTTTTAGCCCCCCTCCCCTCCATCCCCTAGACACCCACACGGATCAAAGTGGCTCTGGGAACCTTGTGGCAGGGAACAGCCTGGATGGCTGCTGCGTCCTTCCCACAGCCCCGGCCCGGGACAAGGACCGTGCCCCCGGATGAGCGGGGCTAGGAAGTCTTTGAGATGTCGGTACCCGGAGGAAGGACCCAGGCAGAGGCTCCGAGGGCTCAGCCCTGGAGCAGACAGGGAGAACCATCACCAGCAGAGACCGGCTGGTCTGTACAGCGAGGCTCACGCCCATAACCCCATTAATCCCGTCCGGCCGCAGGTGCGGAGCCGCGGCCGCGCATCCCGCCCCGAGCGCACAGGTGCGCAGGGAGGCCCGGCCGGGATGGAGGGCGAGGCTTCGCCGGGAGCGAGGGGCGGGTGCGTGCAGAGCCCGCCGGGGCCCCACTCCTGCCCTTTGTCTATTGATCCGCGATCGGGAGCCGCAGACAGAGCGGCGGCCCCGCGGGTAATTGGGGCTCCGGGGCCGTGACCGCGGCTGCGCTCCCCTCGCCCCTGCGCTCCGCGGGGAGCGGGGCCGGCGGGGCCCTAATTGGGAGCCAAGGCCGGGGCTCTGGCCGCTCCCTTTGTCGCGGGTGCGGCGGCAGGACGGCGCCAGCCCGACAGAAGGAGCTGCCGCCCCACCGCCCATCGCTGCCCGCCCCGTCACACCGGGGCTCCCCTTCCCCGACAGCCGCACCCCGCGATCGCACGGTCGGGACTGGCAGATGCTCGTGGAAAAGTTCCAGTGGAGGATTCGATCCTGCGTGGATCAGGCCCTGGGCTGGGAAGAGCTGCTGATGTGGGTCCTGGCACCACGGCATGCCCAGCTCCATGGCATCATTCTCAGATCCTCACCGCTTCTGCAGCTATCAGTATTTAAACTAATAGAAAATACAGAGTGACTTTTTACACAGACAGATGACAGGACAAGGGAGATGGTTTTAAACTAAAGGAGGTGAGATTTAGATTAAATTTTGGTAGGAAATTCTTCCCTGTGATGGTGCTGAGGCCCTGGCACAGGTTGCCCAGAGAACCTGTGGCTGTTCCATAGCTGGGAATGTTCAAGACCAGGTTGGATGGGGCTTGGAGCAAACTGGGATAGTGGAAAGTGCCCTTACCCACAGCAGAGGCTTGGAACAAGATAGGTTTTAAAATTCCTCTCAACCATCCTTTGGTTCTCTTATTCTGCCCCACATCCATGACCCAAAATACACAGTGATAGCACACGAACACAGGGCCAGCAGCCCAGATGAGGGGCCAGAGGTCCTGCAGAACCCCCCTGGGCTGCACAGGGACAAGAGCCGTGGCAGCGTTCCCCCTCTGCAGGGCTGCGAGATGCTCTGGCATGAGCTCATGTTCCTGTTTACAAACACCCGCCCATGGAGCCCTTCCAGCAGCGCTATTGTGCTGCACGGCAGCTCAGCGGCCAAGGCAGCCGGGGTTTGTCCACCAGGCCCACGAAGCCCTCAGGGCAGCTCTGCTATTTTTAGTGTCTGGCCGAGCACCTCGCGCATTGAGCTGGAGAAATTCAGAACTCACCACTAAACCTAGTGAAGACATCGGTGTTTGAGGACCTCACTGCTCTGGTGACACTGCACCAGCGTTTAGGTGGTAAAACACCAGCTCCAGACATCACCAGGACACCCAGAATTTTATTTTCGTGACTTGGCAGCGATCACAGTGGCATGGCCAAGCCAGGTTTTGCCAGGTGCAGAGCAGCAGAGCCATGGGGGTGCTGTGCTGGGTGTGCCCCCGCGGGGCCTCCCAGCGCCTTTTCATAGCTGAGGAAAAGAAATCCCAGCACAGTGCGTGACTAATCGGTAGCTGCTCATCGAGCTGCTTGAATAGGGTTTCTCAGAGCCTGGGGACAGCCAGGGCAGGCGTGGAGCAGCTCGGCTCCTGCTGGAACAGCCTGGCTGGGGGGGCCAGGCCCTGCTCCCTGCCTTTGGGCACTGTTCCTCAGGGTCACCATCATGAACCTGCAGAATATTTTTGCCCTCCCCAGTGAAGAGCAGCTTTGTGCTCAGTGGGCAAGTTGGGATGTCCTGCTGGCAGCGGAGCTTGGCCCCTAATCCAGGATGGGCGAGGGGGCTGTCCCTGACCCACCATGATGGCAGGAACTCATCGTGAGGCTGCCCCAGCATGTTCTGCAGCACCGCCACCATCACTGAGAGTTTCCCGACCACCTCAGCCTAAATCCAGAACGGTTGGATTAGAGGAGCCCCCCCACTGGCACAGGTTGTGCCCCCTCACTAAAAATAGACCCCATTAAATTGCTGCTCGTCCTGAGTGATGCTGATTCCGAAATAATCCTGCAAGCCTAACTTTAGTCACCACACATCCCTCCTCCTGGTGGGAAGGCGAGTAGAAATGATCACAGAGGCAGCATCTCTCGCGCCGTCGAGGAACCCAGCCCAGCACCTCTCCCCAGACACTGCTCCGGGGGGTTCAAAGCCCTTTCCCTGCCCGCACCAACGGGAGCGCGGGGGAGGCCGAGGCGGGGCCCGCCCCGTCGGGGGGAGCGCGGAGGCGCCAGCAGAGGGCGCCCTGCGCCCGGCGCTGCGCCTCAGCCCGCGGGGGCCGCGATCCCGCCCGGAGAGCGGAGAGCGGAGAACGGGAATCGCTGGGGAACGGCGCTGCTCCTTCCGCCACGGCCGCGCCCCGCCACACCCCGACCGGCTCCGGGCCTCGGGGAGACGGGGGGACTTAAAGCCCACGGCCCGCGGTGGCCCCATCCCCGACGGAACCGGTGTGCCCGGGTCACTCTGTCACCCTCAAGGACGGTACCGGTGTGCCCGGGTCACTCTGTCACTCTCCCGGAGGGTACCGGTGTGCCCGGGTCACTCTGTCACCCTCAAGGACTGTACCGGTGTGCCCGGGTCGTTCTGTCACTCTCCCGGACGGTACCGGTGTGCCCGGGTCATCCCTTCCCCGTCACCCTCCCGCATGACCGACGGTGCCGCTCTGCCCGGCTCACTCCATTCCCGTCGCTGCCGGTGTGACCAGCGCTCTCCTGTCCCCGCCGGTACCGGAGAGTCCCCGCAGCAGCAGCGGCTCGGTACCGGCGGCCCCGGCTCTGCTTCCCCGGCACCGGCGGAGGGTCCCGGTGCCGCATCCCCTCCGCGCCCCCTCCCCGCGCACCTGCCGCGGCCGGGCGAGTGAAGGCCCGGGGGGCACCAAACCCCGGCGGGTCCTGCCCTGCCCGGGGCCGTTCCCGTTTTCTTTGCCCGTCAGCGGCCGCGGAAGGGGCGGCTCCCCCCCAACGCTGCGCACCTGCGGAGGAGCGGCGGCCCCGACGGGGCGGAGCGGCCGCGGTAATGAAACAGGCGGGAGCCGGCAGGACTTCTCCGAGTAGATTTTTTTTTTTTTTTTTTATTGAAAGATGTGAGAATTCATCAAAACTGAACAGACAAGATACCCGAGTAACCAGCACGTTGCAAATCATGTATCTTTTTATTTTAAAACAAATATAGAGCACAGTCCTGTGATATTTAAATTTATTATACTTCTTTTTTTTTTTGTTCTGGAGTGAAAAATAAAAACCTGAGGTTTATTCCTGCATTCTCTATACCCCGCACTGTAGCAATATTTTAGTTAGGTTTTGGATTCGTTAGTTTATTTTTTTTCTTGCAAAAGTCCGTTAAAGGATTGAAATCTTAGTTTTAATGACTCCAAAAATTGTTTTATCAGTGGCACATGATTGTCCTAGAGAACAGGCGGGATAAACAATATTTTAAAACACAGAGAAACCGATATCTCCTTCAATCACAAAGAGCTAAATAGTTTTCATTTACAATATATATGTTCATGTAAAATGAAACAAAAAAAAACGAAAAAAAACTTAAATGCGAGGAGTTAAACTCTAAATATTATGTACACACCAATGTACAACTCTGAATAAATTAATACCAATTTGCATATTCTGGGATCCTTATAGCTTATTTACACAAATTACCATTTATTTCATAAATATCTGCCCAGGTACCCACGAGGCTCCCCCCGCCGTGCCCGCTCTGCGCGGCGGCGGCTGCCGAGGCGGTTTGGTTTCCATCTTCTGTTTCTTATCTCTCTCTCTCTCTCTCTTTTTTTTTTTTTTTTTCTTTTTAAATTTATTTTTTCCTTCTCCCTCCCCTTGCACAGGTGAGGGTTTGGCCTCTCTAATCCCCCACCGAGGCAGGAGATGGGGCTGCCCCGTCCATCAGGTGTCTCGGCACCAGCTCATCACCTTCCCCCGAGCTGCCCAGTGCCCGGAGCGGGGAACTGGGGGGGTCCTGGGGGCTCCGTGGCCTCGCTGGAGCGGGAGGAGCCGCTCCCAGTCCCGCAGCCGAAGGGATGGGCAAGCCCAGAGCTCCAGCTGCTCCCTCCTGGCTCTGGGGTGGTGGGTCCGCTTGGCCGGTGGGGTCCGTCCCTCTGCTGCAGCACCCCGCTCCCTGTCTGCTCCCAGCCCTCGCTCCACAATAAATATTTATACTGTGCTGTACAAAATACCAGTGCTTCTCCGCCCCGCCGGGAGGGCTCGCTGCCCGCCCCGCCGGTCACTTCGGGGACTCCCTGCCGGGTGACAGCTCCCGCTGGCTCTCCAGCCCGCTCACCAGTCTCTGGATGTTCTGCAGTTCATTGAGGGACTCCTTCAGGGAGCCCTTGGGGGAGGCAGCGGGGCGCTGGCTGCCCCCCTTGTGCAGGGGCACCTCGGGCAGGGGGCTGGATTCCCGGCTGCTGCCGGCCTTGGAGCCCTCGGAGCCGGGGTTGAGGCTGGCGGGCAGGCCGGTGGTCAGCAGGTTGGTGCTGGGCGGGATGGTGACCGGGAGCTGGTAGGGGCTGAAGCGCAGGCGGGGCCGGCTGCTGCCCAGGAAGGGGTTGCGGGACAGCGGCCCAGCGGCGGCCGCGCTGGTGGCCGGCATGGCCGAGGCGGCCGCTGCAGCCGCTGCCATGTAGGTGTAGGGGTAGGGGAAGAGTCCGCCGAAGGTGGGCATCGGGATTCCCTGCAGAGAGAGAGAAAGGGAGGTCAGAGCTGTGCTGCTGCTCCACTGCATGCCCGCTCCTGCCTATCCCCTCCCCACAAAAAAGCCAAGGCAAAGGTGAAACAGCCCAGTGTCACCCTAAAAGCAGAGCGTGGGAGTATCCGTGTGGAACAGGCTGAGGGAGGGGGTACAGCCGCATCCACCCCATCCCAAGCCAGGCTGGTGACACCGAGCACAAACCCCTGTCTGGGATCTGCCCCGTCCCCTCCCTGCACGCTGCACGTCCTTGCCTGTGCAGCACCATAGCCCCTTAACCACATTAAAACACATTGTTAAGCTGGACGGATAAATTAGGGGAGTTCAAAGACATCTCTATGTATTCCATCAGAGGGAATGGGAAAAGCAGCACCAGCGCAGGCGCTGTGGGAGCACTTCAGAGCTGACAGGAAGACAGGGAGCTGCTGGATGGGGACAAACAGGTCAGGCAGGGCCACAGCTCCTGACTCTGCCCTTGACTATGGAGGAACCATAGTAGCTGCAAAAAAAATCAAGATTCCTCCTCAGATCAACCCTGGAGTCGCCTTCAAAACGTCCCCCGTGTTCTGCCAGTGACACAGTTGGGAACACGTCAGGGGAGCGTCACCTTCTTGTCCCTGTGGGCTGCAGAGGGCCTGGGGAAGGCTGAGGGCACCAACAGCTCCTTCCCTGCAATGGGACCACCCTTCATGTCCCGACACTGGGGGTGACACTGGCCAGGCCTGACTTGCCTCCCCAAAGTGCTCCACTCACTCAGGGAGCTTTTCAGGAGGACGTGAAGAAGAAATTTCAGGGCCCTACTGGACAGCAGGGATAGGGATGGGGACACAGGGCTTACCTGAGAGGCCAACATGTGCTGGGAGAGGTGGAAAGGGAAGGGGGTGGCCGTCCCCGCCGCGCCCGGGGCGGACGAGAGGGCTCCATTCTCCAGGCTGCCCCCGCCGGTCACCGAGGCCAGCAAGTGTCCCATGCCCATGGCAGAGAAGGCGCCGGGGGCCATGGCGAACTGTCCTGGGTGGATGAAGAGGGGCTGCCCAGCGCCCAGCGGGCTGAAGAACTGCTGCCCGTGGAGGCCAGAGAGCGCCAGGCTCTGCAGGTGCCCGGCGCTCAGGTGCGGGGGGCTGTCCGTGTGCACCATCAGCGGGGCGAAGGCCTCCTTGCCCAGCCCGCCGCCCTCCGTGTCCTTCTTGCCTGGGTCCGTCTCTTTCCTCCGTCCTTCCACCTTGTCCTTCTCCAGGCCCCGTGTGCCGAACAGGCCCTCGCCAGGAGCCTCCCGGGGGGATGCACCATCCTTGACTTTCTCCGGGCTGTGCCTCTCCTTGCTCCGTTCCTCCGGGCACCGGGGGCTGCCGCGGGGCGTCGCGTCCTCCGCGCTGGGGCTGGCTGCTGCCACCGGCCGCTCCTCGGGCACCTTCTCCACCTCCGCGTCGCTGTCGGCCCCTGGCTTCTCCTCTGCGAGGGGATGGAGGGGCAGAGGGTCAGAGCAGAAGCACCCAGGGGAGGCGAGGAAGGGGTCACTCACAAGAGCTCTGGTGTCAGGAAGCCGCGATCGTTATTAATGGGAGAGAGTCATTTTGGGGGCAGAAATGGGCCCTTGTGCTATGGTCACTCTGGGGATAGGGGATTAACAGCAGCAAGTCCTGTGGCTGTGCCAAACAGGAAAAACATGTTTGATGGAGAACCAGAATCTATTCTGTAATAGATCGCTCTCCTTAGCTGCAAAATCCAAGCGGGAAAGAGGAGAGCGGGCAGTGGACAGCACGGGAGGAAATGGTTCTGCATATATTTAATTACATGTAGCTGATCGCCAGTGCGCCATGGATTTATTCCAAATGTGCAGGTTGAGACAGGTTAAAGAGGCAGTTTTAAGGCTGGGAGTATGGCACAGACCTCCCTAAAAAGGGCTTTAATTTAAAAAAACCCATTGAGCTCTCAGAGGAGGCAGGGGGATGCGAGGCGAGGGGCTGGCGAGGGCGAGGGGAGCTGAGCCCCTGCCTGCACGGCTCCACTAAACGAGAAAAGCCTTTTGGTGCGGGTGAGGTGAAGCTCTGCAGGCTGGGGCAAATATTCGGGGAAGCCTTTGAAAGTGGAGAGGGGTGTAATAAACCCTCCCTCCAGCTCGGGGTGGGGGGTTGCAGTTTTGATGAAGGTTTGCAGGGAATCGCGTTGGTGGAAAGTTTAAAGAGCAGATTGATAGTGCTGCAAGACAAAACCCAGCATCGAACAACTGCAGCGTGGGAGCTGCTGGTTTATTTTCATTTACCAGCTTGAAGCCTTGGAGTTACAACGTTTTTTTTTCCTCTTTCAAATATATTAATTCTTTACCTTTTCTCTTTTTTCTCTCTTTTTTAGGGGAATGTGAGATTCCCATGGAAGGCAAGGCACGCCAGGCTAACGTGGCGAGCACACAGGCTGCTTTGCCTTTTCTTCTTGTATAACGTAAATACAAGACATCAGGTGTATAGAGGATCAAATACACATTCAAAAGAAAATACGTGAAGAGAAAAACGTCTCAACTCGTGGATACCCTTCCCGTTTGCTCTGTTTTTGTCCTTTCAACCCCTGGGCTCCCCTGTGTGCATCCCCATCTTTATTTTCCCTGGTGTTTTGCCTCCCTGCCCACAGGAAATCAGCACGCAGCAGCCCCGAGGGAAAAGAACGTTCGGGGACATTTGGGGACCGCGATTCCTGCGTTACCTCTGCCGCTGCCCTTGAGGCGCAGAGGGCTGGGGAGGGCACCCACGGGCGAGTGAAGGGCATCGCGCACGGCCGAGGGCTCGCAGGAGGAGGCGTCCGACTCGCCGCCGTCGCGGTCGGGCTTGCAGGGCTCCTCGTACATCCGCAGGGACGGCAGGGACAGCTGCTTCCTGCGGGGACACGCAGCGTCGGGCACCGGCCGTCCCCCCGAGGGCTCGGAGCCGGGGGGGACGGGGCCACCGCTTACCTCTTCTCCCGCCGGCCATTGCCCGTGTCCCGAAAGCCCTTGGCGAAGGGGTTGTTATCGATTTTCAGCTGTGTGATCTGCGAGGGGGCAGAAGGAGAGAAGGGGCGGTGTGAAGCCCTGGCCGTCCCCCCCCCCCCGGTCCCCGCCGCCGTCGGGGAGCCCGAGGTGCGCGGCGCAGGCTGCGGAACCCGCGTTAACACACCGCATGCTTTATTAAAAATGATGCTGAGGTTTGGGCTTGAATTATTAATAGCGTCTTAATGATAGGAAGTTATTTTTCACGGCCCCCCGGAGGGAAGATGGCGACTGAGCTGCGCGGCGCTGGTTAAAAGCTATTCTTATCCCTCCCTGCCACGGGCTGCTGGGGCCGGCGACATCAGGGCGCTCAATAATGCATGGCCCTGAAACACGGCCCCGAGAGGGGCTCTGGAAAAGGCCCGACTGCCCGGCCCCGCCGCGACCCCCGGCCCGAGCATCCCCCGGCCCGAGCATCCCCCGCCCGACGGGGCCCACGGCCGGCGGCCGCCCCGCGCAGCTTGCGGCGGGCGAGCAGACAAAGTGCTCTTTAATCGATTGTGACTCTTCGCCATAAACTTTACGAGGGAAACAAGCCCACCAGGACCCTCAGACAGAGCTGTCAATTAGCATCAGCAGCCAGGGGTGGAGGTGGGGGTCAGCTTTTGGGTTAAAACACACACACAACTCTTGGAAGGGGACGGCAGAGGCTCTCTGCTCCCCATCGTGCTCTCCTGGCTCTGCCTGCTCACGGGGCGACACTTGCTAAATCACGAAAGCAACTAAAATTAGCTTATCTGCCTCTATTTTTTGGCTCCTCCAGAGCCCTGGGCACCTCCTCGGTGAGGCTGCCCGGGCCTGGTGCTCCTCTCCACAACCTGGGCCTGCAGCAAAGACCCCCACGGGCCAGAAAGGCACAGCAAACTCCGTGAGGGAATTATTAATAGTAATAATAGAAATACTGGCAACAGCATTAACATTAATACTAAAAATAGCGATAATAATACAAGAAGCACGAAGGCTCATCCTACCCTGAGTTCCTGAGGTTTAACCTTTCTACTGCTGCTGGGTTTTGCCCCGAAATATCCTCACCAACACACACACACACAAAAATACGCTGATACAGGGTAAGGGATGGGACAGGGGTGAGAACAGAGAGAGGGACAGGGATGGGGACAGGGACGGCGACAGGGACAGGAGCTGCCCAGCCGTACCTTGTCGTTCTGGTAGGCAGTGACGGCGATGAAGTCGGTCTCGGGGAACACGTAGGTGCGGAAGGTGCTGTAGGGCAGCTTGAGGATGTCGTTGGCCCGGACGATGTGGAACCGGGGCTGGTACTTGTGCATGGAGTTCAGGATGGTCTGGGATGGGCGAGAGAGCACAGCCCGCGGCTGCCGTCAGCCCCACGCCTCCAGCTCCCTCCCTAAAAAAACCCTTTTCTCCCAAAAACAACAACAACAACAAAATACACCTCTCGAATTCACCGTGAGGAAGGAATGCCAGAGAAGGAGATTTCTTTTTTTTTTTCTTTTTTTTTGTTGATGCCATTGCAGGATCTGTCCCCAAAGAAGGAGGTCAGGGAACAGACAGAACAGCATCTTTGCGGGTGTTAAGCACGGCAATAAAGCAGCAAAAGGGATCTCTCAGTTTTATTACAACCCTGCAAACGCGAAGCGACTTTTCGACACGTTTCTCACCGCTTTTCATATTTCCGTCCTTAAAAATAAATTACTATCCCTCACCACCACAAAAAAAAAATAATGTTAAAAGCCTCTGGGTGAGTGTCGGGGGCGGCAGGAGCCGGTGCCAGCCCCAGCCAGCGCCTGCGACCTGAAAGGAGCGTTTCACCACGAGCCATAGCAAATTTATGTCTCGGAGCAACGTTGCAGAAGGAACAGACTTTTTTTTTTTTTTCCAGCCAGGTGTCTGAAAGCCTCGCCAACACTCAAAGCCGTTCTCTGCCTTTTCGTTTTATTTTTTGAGTTTGCTTTGCTTGTTTTTTTTTATATAAAACCCGATTTGCCCGCGATTTGGCCGAAGATTTTTGGAAGCGTCTGAACACCCCCAAGCCGCGCCCCTGGGGCTGCTCCGACCCCTTGCCCCTCGCTGCCTGCTTTCCTACCCGATAGCTTTTAAATAATTCCCCAACCTGCTGTGGTCGGACTGAAATGCGGAATTCACTGCCCAGAATTCGTAGAGGGACGGAGAAAGCTTGAGTAATTATTGTCGAATAACGTCGGCCAAATGGCTAAATAATTATCACTTCATTTCGGTTTAGAAGGTAATAAAAAAAATCCCCCCTTTTTTTTTTAACCCAAGCAATAATCACTTGCTGATGAACTGTCAGATCGCTGTTATATTGATATAATCTAGACTGGATTTATCATGAAAATGGTGCAAAAAGTCTCATTCAGGCGTGCAGATCTGCATTCCTTTAAAAAAAAATAATCATCCCTCTCTGACCAGATGGGCACTGGCTAAACCCTCATCTCCCAGATTTAACACAGTCCGGATTTTGGACAACGACAGATACCAGAAATCTTTAATTGAAGGAGGCGAACCGTTAAAAGCGCTGAATCAAACTAGTTTTTCACCAGTACAAAAAAAAAAGGTATTTTTTAGACTCCTTCTCTATCGATTTACCTTGCTGGCTATAAATAACCTCGCAATGTATTATTTAACAAAGACGCTGTTTCCTGCCTTAAGAGAAAAAAAAATAAAAGTGAGAGAGAAAAAAAAAATGGGGAGAAAAAAAAAAAAAGAGAGAGAGAGAGTGGAAAAAATAGAGACAGGAAAAAATAAAAAGAGAGGGAAAGTTCTCCGGGAGGTGCGGAGCTGCTCTGAGCTCCCCGCCCGAGCGGGGTCCCGGCTGCCCCGCGGCTCCGGCGGCCCCGGCTCCCCGCTAATTACCGTATCAGCAGCGCTGCACGATGAACTTTCCCTTTATCGCCCTAAATGCTCGCTCAGAGGAAGGAGAGCTGGCTGGGGCTCTGGGATTTCCCCCTCCGTGCATTCCCGCAGGATCGCTCTCCCCTCGCGTTCTGACTCTCTGCAAATGGCCAACACTCTGCACCGGTTTTCTTTCCTCTCTCCCTTTCTCTTTTTCCTTTCTTTGTTTATTTTGCTTGGTAGCTTTTTTGGCTTAATTTCTTTGTTTTGCTTTACCTCCTTTAGGTGATGCAGATACCATCAATAGGGATATAAACAGGGGTTTTTTTTCAGAGGCAGATGGTGCCAACCACTGCAGCCCTTCTCTCGGCTGCGGAAACCCAGCGCAGGTGCCGCCGGCCGCGGCCCCGCTCGGTCCGGGGGGCAGCCACGGTCCCTGCCCGGCCACCTCCCCGTCGGGGCTGCCCTCGCTGCAGCCCCCGCACGGCCTCGGCCCCGCACATCCACCTCCCTAAATTACTGTCCCCACAGAGCCTCCAAACCCGGGAAGAAGCAGCAGGACAGGCCGTGGAGGCCTGGGATGCGAGAGCCAAGGGCAGCCCGAGGTTTCTTGCAGCCCAACCTTCCTTTTTGTCCCGCAGAACGAGAGCTGCCCCTCGGTGCCGGGCAGGACCAGGGGCTGGGGGCTGCGGGACAGCCAGACCCCCGCAAGGCCCGGCCAGGCCCCACCGCCCAGCCAGACCCGGCTGGAGGAGACTCTAAATCCCCGCGGTTCCCCCGGGGAGATCACGGGCAGCCCCCGCACCGGGCAGCCCCCGCACCGGGCACACCCCGCTCCTGCCCAGGGTCCCTGCCCGGGGGGCTCCGCTCTGCCCCACAGCCGAACTTACAAAGCCGTGCTTATCCGAGATGTTGTTGGTGAGCTTGAGCTTGTGAAAGGCAACAGGTTTGGCCATCCACTGCTCCCCCGTGGCCGGGCTGTCGGGGTGGATGTACATGCGCTTGGGCATCTCCGGGTCGGCCTTGCCGGCCACCATCCAGCGGGAGTTGTGGAATTTGTACCGGCAATCGTCGGCCGCCACTATATCCATCAGCAAAATATATTTGGCCTTCTTGTCCAGGCCGCTCACCCGCACCTTGAACGGGGGGAACATCCTCCTGCGGAGAGACCCAGAGCAGTTCAGGGCTGCCCCCGCCCGCCGCCGACCCCCGACGGCTGCGGCCCCACCGAGTCCCCTGCACCGCCCGGTCCTGGCCTCACCGAGCCCCCCGCACCGCCCGGCCCCGGCTGCTGCTCCCAAACCACCATCTTTTAGTTTAGTTCTCTGAGGATTCCCAGCCTTCCTCACGTCCCACCTCTTCTCATCCCTCTGTGCAGCCCACACCGTGACAGAAAGCAAGGAAAAAGCTCAAAAATCCCATTTCGGGAAATAAAGGGCGAAAACATATTCTTATTTTCTCCTATTTCTCTGCCCTTCGCTGACCCGCTCGCTCAGCACTCCCGGCTGCTTCCCCCGGGCCCGGAGCCACGGGCAGGGCCAGGGACGACCCCGGACGTGGGGAAAGTTTGGCAGGAGGGAAGGAAGCGGCGGGAAGGGGCATAAACAACGGGAGCGGGGGATTCTGAGCGCTCACTTAACGTGCACGAATTTAATTTGGGATCGCGCTCCGAAAAGTAGTAATGGGAGGGGGGAGCGGTGACGGGAAAGCTCGGAGAAGCGGGGAGAAACACCTCCGAAAAACTCCAGGGATCGAAACTCGCCGCGTTAATTCATGGGGACGGATGGGAAGCGGGATGGAGCGAGGGGCGAGGGCGCTGCGCGGCCGCGCAGGTGCGGGGCGGGCTGGGGGGGCTGCGCGGGGTCGGCTCTTACCTCCCAGACTTGGTGATCACCATCTCGGTGCCCAGCTTGTGAAACTGGTCCCAAAGCTCTTTGGCTTCCAGCGTTACTTTGGGGTCGTCCTCGACCTCCTCCTCGGGCTCCAGGCTTTTGAGCGAGCGCAGATGGGCGGCTTGGTGGTGGTGTCCCAGGGCCGAGACGTGCAGCCCGGCCTCGGCCGCCCCGGCCAGCCCTGGGTCCGGCATGGGCTTCGCCAACGCCGCCGGAGGCAGAGCCAGAGCCGGGAAAAAGGACGGCTGGGCGGCTGCGAGGAAAGCGGACATGGGGAAGTCAGCCGGCCGGGGTGCGTGGAAGGGGTGGTAAGCCATGGCAGTCCCTGGGAAGGCTGGATCTCTCATCGGTGCATCCACAAATCCAGGAGAAAAAGAGGGATTCCCTTTACAAAAATGCGTGTGTGTGTATTTGTTGGGTTTTATTTTTTTCCCCTCTCCTGCCCAGCGAACTCGCTCGAGTCTCTGGAAGAGGAAGGAAAATCAACAACACACACAGGCTCCGAAAAAAAAAATAAAAAGCATAAAAAAAAAAGAGGCGAAAATCAGCCGAACTAGATTCGGGGGAAAAAAAATAAGAAGGAAAAAAAAAAAGGAAAAGCGAAGCAGTTCCCGGCTCCTGGGACTCCCGGTCTGCGGAGGGGAGACAGTAGGTCCTTATTTTTTGTTGTTGTTGTTGCAGCGAGGGAGAGCGAGCGAGGGAACGAGCCCTCCCAGGAAAGTCCTTCCCGACACTAAAATAGAAACAAAAGCCGTGTCGGGGCTGCGCGGGGCTGCGCGGGGCGCGGCGGGGCAGGGGCGGCCGCGCTGCCCTCACACCCCCGCGGGCCCGGGCTGCGCCCCGGCGGGGCCGGCCCGGCTCCGCGCTCCGCGCTCGGCGCTGGGGCTCGGGCTGCTCATGGCCAAAGGAGCCGAGTGGGAACGGTGAGATCTTGTCCTGATCTCTGTAAAACTGTGACTATCTCACATGTCCTTCCTGCTCTGATCCGCCCGCTAATGAGCCAAGCCCCCTTGATTGCTGATTTTACGCGTTTCAGACCAATTGTGGATCTGCATAGGCGGGGTTTTGACAGCTCCGGCCAAGCTCCGGGCGCGGGGGGGCGGGGGGCGCGGAGGGAGGGAGGAAGGGAAGAAGGGAAAAACCAAAGAGAGAAAAATTGAGATTTATTTAATATTCACATTAAATACTTTATATTCCAAAGTGATTAGAAAAAAGGGAGAAAAAAAAAAAAGAAGAAGAAGGTGTCGGAAGCATCGGCAGTAAGAAAACATGTCAACAGAATAAAATATTAACCAATGACAGAGAAAAGTGCTCGAAATCCCACCCCCGGCTCCTTTCCGCATACCGGGTCAGCCCCGGCTGCGCCGCCGGTGCGGGGCCAGCGCGGAGCCACCTCGGCGGAGCGGGGAGCGGAGCCACGGGGGCGGGGGGCGGCGGCAGAGGCCCCCGCCGGTCTCCGCGGGGGCGGCGGGCCGGGGAAGGGGGGGAGAGGCCGGGGGAGCCCGGCGGCGGCCGCCTTACGACAGATCCTGGAGAGCGGATCGCGGCGGGGCGCGCCCCGCCCGCCGCTCCGCGCACAACCGCGCACAACCGCGCAGCGCCGACGGGGCGGCCGCCGGAAGCGCGGCCCGGCGGAGAGCTGCGGGCGGCGGCGAGGCCCCGAGCGGCGACCTCCAGCGCGGGTGAGTCGCTCCCAGCCGTCGCCCCCCACCCTGCCGGCAGCCGCCCCGACCGGGAGCGGGGGGGGTCCCGCCCGCAGCTCCGCGCCCACGGCGGAGGCGCAGACCCCCAGACCCCGCCGTCGAGGCGCGTCGGGTACGCGGCCGGGGGCCAGCACGGCGGTGCCCGGCCAGAGGGGCTGTTTACCCGGGCGGGGGGAGGCAGATAAGGAGGAGGGGGGACACTCCGGGGCTGTTTGCTGAGGGATTAGGGCCGGTCCCGCCGCGCCGGGGCCCGGGGGGGCGGCGGGCGCGGTGGGTGTCCCCTCGGAGAGGCCGGTTTGGAGATCTGCGCTGATTAACTGAGGGCCGCGGTGGCTGAAGAGGGCCCTGGCGCCAGGCGGCTGAGCCCTCACAATAAAGACCCGTCTCTTGTCACTTCATATTTACCCCCAAATCTTCAAAAAGCGCCCTGCCATCCTTCCAAGGCTCCTGCCCCCGCCGCCTGCGCTGCGACCAGGCGGGACGGGGGGGTAGTGGCCGACCCATTCCTCTGCCCCCCGGCCTGTCCCCCCCCGCCCCGGGCCCTCCCGCTCCGCGGATGCGCAGCGAGGCGCGGCCGCAGCAGCTCGGAGCGCTCGTGGTCCTGTGTCGTTGCTCCAGCGCAGGGTGGGATGCGGGAACCCCCGGGTGCCCCCTTCCCATCCCGACCTCGCCTCTCTATTCCTCCGCCCCGGTTTATCCTGCTGGTAGCCCCCGGAGGAGCCCCATCCCCATCCCCGGGCTCTTCTCGGGGCCGATCTCCACCTGCCCCGCGTCCCGCGGCAGGTTCACCTCTGCCCGCACCGCTCCCGGCTCCGCACCGCGCCCGACGGGGCGGGCACCGCGCGTCACCCGCCGGGGCTGCGGGGCCGGGGGGGTCCCGCTGACCATTGAACGGGCAACGGGGACTGAAATTTAAACCCAATTTGGACTTTGCTTCCTCGCCGCTGTGGAAAACTGCTGACGGCAGCTTTGGCAAAAGTGGGGCTTGCTTGTATTTTTTTTTTTTCCAATTTCCCCCCCGAGAAAGAAAAAGTGGAGCCTTTCATTGCCTCGGGGCGAATCTCCCCACGCCGGGACGGTTCTCCCGGGGACACCTCGCCCGCTGCTCCGCGGGAAGAAGCGGGGCCCGGCCCTTCGGGGCCTGTGTCCCCGGCGTGTCCCCGCGAGGAAAGGTCGCCTGTCCTCCGTGCTACTGGCCGGCATCCCGCCCGCGCCCCCCGCACCGCTGTAAGGCCGCAAACGGCCTCGCCTGCAGAATAAAACCGATCCAGAGCAGCCTCGTCTCCCCGACCTTCCGTAGCGCCGGCCGCCGGCGGGGCTGCGGGGATGGGGGGCTAACGGGGACCAGCGGGGACCGGGGTTCCCACGGCGCTGCCACCCCTCGGGGCCCCGGTCACGGCGGGCGCGGACACGACCCAGGAGCCTGCACCCATGGATGGGCCGTGCCCGCTCATCGCCCGTCGGTGACCGAGCACCGGGAGGGAAAGAGGAGGCAACGGCCCCGGTTGGCGTTCCGAGGGCAGCTGTGCCCCGGGGTCGCGGACGAGGAACGTTCCCTCGCAGTCCCCTTCGAGGGAAGGTTTTCCAACCTGCCCCAGGGCGCTGCAGCGCTCGGGGCCGCCGTGCCTGGCTCCTGAGAGCCGTCCCGGTCGCCTGCGGGCCCGATCCCCAGTCCCCGGGCTGGGCTTGTCTCGTGGATTCGTCCCGGGGATCCGCCCTGGGGATCCGTCCCCGTTCAGCCCGGGGACACCGTCCCGTCGGGCCGCCCCCGCCCCCCACCCGCCCCGCATCGCGGCCCCGCTCGTTCTTCCCCTTTCATCTCTGCCCATCTCCACTCATCATCCCTTTTCTATTTTTAGCCGGTAGACTTAGGCCTTGGCGCCAGGCCGTTTAAGACCTGTCAAAGTCCTTCATATTTCCCTCACGTCACATGGACCTTTCGCTCTCTTCCCCGCGCCATGCGAGGGCCGTAATTTGGATCTGTGAGCTGGTGAGCAAATGCAATTTGCTCTTCTCCATCGCTGTGTTGTCTCCGTGACCCCAGCCAGCAGGACGGCTGGTGTCCTGTCCGGGGCACTTACACAAATTGCGGGTGATTGATGAAAAATAACAATTCTCACAAGCAGCCGGGCCTCCGCCTTCCCCTCCTCCCGGCTCCACCGGGCTGCGGCGGCCCCGCGCCCCGGGGAGCGCTCCCCCCCGACGGGGTGCACCAAGCAAAAGGGGTTTTCTTGTGCCCAGGATGAGCCGTCGGGCCCCCCATCCCTGGCAGTGATGCCACGGCAAGAGGAGACCCCCGGACTCTTGGGGAGGGCGGCTCGGCTGCTCGCACCTTCCCAAATTGGAGGAATCGAGCCGGGGTGGAAACAGGCCGTGGCGTGGGGGGAAGGACACGGTGCCGCGGGGCTGGGCTCCACTGTCCTTCCCCGGAGCAGCCGGACAGACAGACAGACAGACCTGGGGATGTCAGAGACTCTCCCCGAGCGAAGCCGCAGGTGCGGGGTGGGGGAGCTCCCTCCGTCCCCAAGGAACCGGGTCCTCGTGGAACTCAGTGGCTCCTCCAGCCCCGGGGTGCGTCCCCCGGTCCGACCTGGCCCTGCAGCCTCAGCCGGGCCGTGGGGCAGGCGGGGAGGAGGAGAGGGGCGGCCCCGCAGCCCCCGCAGCTTCGTCGGCCTCTCTTCTCCGCTCCACCTAAAGAGGAAAAGAGCCCCACGTGTGACGGAACTGTCCTCGTTTGATCTCACCCACCCGCGCCCAGGACACCCCTCCTCCGCTTTCCTTCTCGGGGGCTCCGCATCTCCCCTCGCACCCTTCGGCGGGGAGGGAATCCCCTCATCCCCGGGAGATCCCGGGAAAACGATTCTGCTCCCCCGCCGTGCTCCGGTGCCCGCTGGAGGGGACGGGGAGGGGCTGAAGGGCACCGGGGCCGGGCTGATGCCCTTTTATCGACAGCTGCCGAGAGAGATGCTCGATCTGACACCAGCCTCGGCACCGCCACCTTCCTTTTCCTCCCGCTGCGCGGCTGCGGAGCTGCGCGCCCCTTCGGTGCGCAGGGAACCCCGCGGAGCCGCGGCAGCCCCCGGGCCGCTCCCCCCACCCCCCCGAGATCCCCCTGCCCTCAGACTGTTTAGATTTCTTTCCAGCTTTAAAGAAAATATTTCCAGTAATCCAGATTTCTGGAAAATAACAACATGCGGGGAGACGCAGACACAAACGCCGCTGAAGTTTATCCAGAGTTTGAACAATTTATAAACACATTTCCCAGCCTGTTTGGCAGGGCGGGCGGCGAGTGACCCCTGCCCGGCCGGGAGGAGACACACGCATCCTCCATCCTCCCGTTATTCCGCGCAGCTTTGAGCTATGAACCTGCACTTCACTGAATTTTAAATTATTCTATTATATATATATATAATTTTTTTTTTTAGTTACGGAGCGCTCTCCCTTCGCGGGGGTGGAATGACCCCCTCCAGCCCCGCGCCCCCGGGGCTCTCCACGTCGGGGCGCGGCGCCGAGCCCGCACCGAGCCCGCTGCCTTAAAAGGAGACGGGAGCCCCGGTCCGGGCAGTGCCAGAGCCAGGGGACCCGCCTGGAACCCGGGCTGGCACCGAGGATGGGGATGGGAACGGGGATGGGGATGGAGGGGCGCGGTGGGGGATCATGCAAATCCCTCTGTTTAAAAAACTTCCATTTGAGAAAGTGTGTCACATCCCGGCGCGGGCGCGTAATCCCGGGCTAATGGCATTATCGCCGCCTCATCGCCGTCATGGGATGGGGCCGGGGGCGAGCATCCCCTCCCCGCCCGCAGCCACGCGTGATCGCGGCTCGGTTCTGAGGGGAAACGGAGCAGCAGATCCACCCCGCTCGGTGTCGGGAGCCCGGGCTCGGTGCCGCTGCCCCTCCCGGGTGCCCTGGTTCCCCCTCGGAGGCTCTATCGGTGCCTATCGATAATCAGGGTCCCGCTGTCCGCCCGAGTTCCCCGAGCGAAGCCGGGTCTCGGGAGGAGCGGGCCGGAGCTCCTCTCAAATCAAACAGCTCCAGCAAACGGCGTTATT